TCGCTTTATTTTTCTTATATTGTATTAATCCTTTTTTCTTTACAATTTCTTTTTCCTCAATTATAACCCTTTATCTTACCTAAAAGAAAATGCTTGCTATTTATTTCAAAGCAACTCTCTTTTTCAGTTATTTTAAGAATCTTTATAACTTTACTACTTTTTAGCAAAATTAACTTTTATATAAAAATCCTTTACAATGATGGACCAACCTGAAGACAATAATATCTTAAAGCAGTCTGAAGATATGAATCTAGTTATTCAATATTTGAATATCCAATTACAATACATGCAATGTAATACGGTAATAACAATCGGTAACACCCAACTGATTAATATGTTGAATGCTTTCGAGACTATCCAAAAACTTCCCGAGGAACTTTAATACGCAAAGTTCACGGAATTCAATACCTGAAACAAAAATGCAAAAGGCGAAAACTAATATCCTGATGGAAATGGTCATGGTGCTAATCCTACAAGACAATCTATATATCAAGGTATATGTAACAACAAAGCAGATGAAGATCAACAATAAGAATATCCTTATACAAATAGAAAAATCCTATAAACTGAGACAAAAGGCTATTAGCAAGATTAGTGTGTATTAGGGTTGTTTTCAAAAAGGCATTATATTTTACCACAATCCTTATTATAACTTACAGAACTAAATTTCAGAATAAGCTCTCCAAGTTAATTAGAATAGCTAATCCTGAGATAATATTGGAATTAGTTAACAAAGAACTCATACGTAAACTGATGGCAAAATTAAAACAGGTATTCAGGTCAATAAACATCTGATACTCTCTAAATTCAAAAGTACCCTTAGGATTCTTAATAAAGATCTTCTCGATATTGCTTTTGATAGAATAATAAACAATAATGTAAACTCAATTTCCGATATAATATAATTGGTATACTGGGAAAGGCTAGTGTAGACTATTCCGAGGATACCCCGCCTATTGGAAATTCTGTTATTGAATTTCAAGATATCCCATCTCTTTCACTTTCCAAAAACATTATCACCAATCTGGAAAGGTAGAAGAGACTCGATATATTAGTAATTGATAAAGATATCGAGCCCTTTCAAGAATATCTAATAAACAAAATTATATTTTGATAAGGTAATCTTTTAGAAAAGAAAAGTAATATATTAGAGGATAAGGAGAAGACAGATATTGCTTAACCCAAGTCTGTAAATGTGACTAGAAGGTATTAATTCTTAGAACTGGTTTTATATATTTAAAGAGAAGTATATCGCGAAGTAAAATCGGTTGGCAAGTAATAGTAATACTAGTTAATCAAATGTCTTTTAATTTTTGTGGGTATTATATCCATCAACTTGCTGGTATTCTTGATTTCAAGACGGCCCATATCAACTGAAAGGTATTACTCAAATGTCTTTAATATATATATAAGAATCAGAATTGAATCGACAATATTTGTATTCACAAAAAGCATTTTTGTTGATTCAAGGAAAGCTTTGTGATTAGTAAAGAGCAAAGAGATAAACTCTTTGGTATTCTCAAATTCAAATCTGTTAATCAAAATACTGCTATAACTATATTGGTATAAGCTCTTTTGACTGGGTTGACTAATATTCACAAGATTGATATTATATATTAAAGAAATAATATTTTTACTTTTATAAGAAGATTTTTGCATTATTGATTCAAGAATCCGTAAAAATATATTATTATTATAATTATTATGAAAAGATGAATTTTGACTTTGTCTATTATTATTATTATTCTTTTTAATAGCAAGCCTTCTGACGAGATTTAAAAATTTAGTGAAATACTTGGTTATAGCGTATAAATCGAGAATTCTGTTTGATTTTATTCTTTTTCCTGTAGTTATTATACAAACCAACAAAGCTTTTAATTATATCTTTGTGTATAGCAATGCAAGAGAACTGTATGCAAAAGATAACACAATGTATGCTGATGATCTATTATATATATTATTTATTCGACAAATAAAGGTATTAATAAATTAATATGTAGAATTCGTTATAGCAGGGTGAAAGTGAAAGTCGAGCAAGATGTGATATGGCGTGAACTTGCTAAGAAAACTTTTGGAAAGTTTAATAGGCTTTTCGAAAAGGGGTACTTTCAAGATATAATCTTGAAAAAAAAGTATGCAGACTATATTAAGCTAATCAAGTCTGAATAATTTGATAAAGTAAGCAATGTATCTTAAACTCTTATTGTTAATAATAACCTAATGAGCTTTAGATAGAATATGAATAGTTAAGAAAACAGATTACTTGCTATATCCATCATTTTATATATTATAGTAAAACTGGCTTCTGGTGGCAGCTTAAATCCTATTCTCAGGAATAGAATAAAGTATAAAGATATTATAAAAATCCACTACAATTTGAAACTTATTTTCGATAAATACATTATTGGTAATAGATAATACGAAATTCTCGAATTCCTGATTGAATATCATTTAACTTTACAAAACCCTATTGAACAAGTTTTTGTTAATAAACTTTTTTGGGATAATATATTTGTTTTTAATAAGACAATAAGACTTTTCATTATAAATAACCAGAATTTCGATTAGTAATATAAAAAGTATGCGAGAGTTATCAAAGTTTTTCTTATACAGGTATTTAACAATACCAAGTTTGTTAAGAAAAGCTATAAGGATAAGTTTTACTTTAAAACTATTAAAAATCTCCTGAAGAGTGAGCATGAAAGTATATATATTGAATTGGATAATAAAAAAAAAATCAAACCTATTCCATCTAATAATAACAAAAACTCTAATCTTGATCCAAATCAAGATCTAGATAAAGATCCGAACGAGAATCTAGATCCAGGTTTAGGTTAAGGCAAAACTGGATTCTCAAGCACTCTAAAACACAGGAGGCCTAAGTGTAATAGAACCCCAGAGATAGAGAAGGGATTGGAGTTTAAAATACAAAAAAAAACTTTCTAGTGATACAAATAGAACAAGAGTATTGAAACTTCAAGTCGATGGAGTAATTGGGTTTAATAAAGGGTTCTGGAAATAACTTTAAACTATTGAACTGTTAGTTTATTATAACTTTACTAAAATTTGACAAAGTTATATCGATTGATATTAAAAGTTAATCAACGAATTGCTACTCCTAAAAGTATTAATACTTATATTTTTTCTTATCTTGTTCTTTTTGTTTTTCTTTTTTTCAAGATATACTTTTTTTTTCTTTTGACTTGATCAGAACAATCAACCTTTCTATATAAAGAGAAATGTAAGTAAAACTTGGTACTAATCACATGACCTCTTTCTGTAACTAGTATTTATAGGTCTTTTTTGTATAGTTTAAAGAAAGTAGTCAATTCCCATCTATCTTCTTGTACATTTTGTGACACACTATATAAAGCCTTCTTCTCCTTTCCTTTGCCAAAAACATTACGTCTCAGTAACTTATCTGTGGTATTTGCAAAGGACTACCTTTACAACCCTACCAACCTTCTACTCTTTTATAATAGCTTGTACAAATTGATTATAATGAAATATTCTCTATTTAGTAAATTAATCTGATTATTGATTAGTCTTTTATAGATAACTTTACATTAATTTAAAGAAGCTTTTTGTAGAGTTTTCATTTAAATTAATTTATAGATTTCTTTGAAATATCTTCAATCTCAATTTCGGATCCCACTGATTTATTCTTCTTTCAATAATATCAATAAAGGAATTCTTTTTTATTTTCTGAATTATTATAGATATTATATTTTGGGGTCTTGATTGATGTTGTAATTATTATTGGATATTCCTTTTATTGTTATTGTTCTTATTGCTGTTTGTATCGATGTTTGTTGAGAGTTTCTCATTGGTTTTGGAATTCTGTTATATATTATAAATTAAATATAATTAAAATAAGCTTTATTTGAATCAAAATACCTATCTATTAGCTTTTTCTTTTTTGTAGAGGGTATCTTTTTTTGATTAAAGATAGTATTGTTATTGTAAAAGGAGTTGGATAGTGAATCTCTAATAAAAGAAAAGGAGGAGGTATTATAATCTTGAAGTTGGCTTTGAGATTCGGTTGCTTTTGCTATAGGTTTAGGCTTTCGTTTGGAATGATGAATTAAGGGAAAGGGACTTCGAATTCGAGATCTTCTATCTCTTTTTTGTATAGATATAAATCTTCGATTGTTATTGTTATTAATAATTTTCGACTTTCTAAATGCTTTCGAGATGTTTTGGGTAATAATTATATTATTAGTTATTGAAATAATTTTATATATAGAAAATAGCTTCAAAAATACTTCAAAAAAAGGTTTTTTCTTTGAAAAGAAAAGAAAGAAGAAAGATAAAATCAAAATATATTTCTTTTCTAATTTTAAGTACTTTTTCAAGATTATTACTTTATTAAAGCTTTTTATATAGTTCTCAATTTTAAATATGGGGTTTTAATATCGAATTGAAGTTTAAATTGAATATTCTAAAAAAACCATGGATTATTTGGTGGATTTGATATCCAAACTATAAAACCATAGATTAATAATCTACTCTTTTTGAAGTGGATTGATGTTATTGCGGAATCCATAATAGCACAAAGTGCAGATTATTTCAGCGGATTCAGCACGGATTTTATATTCAAACTAGTCCTTACAATCTCCAATGCTTTCCCCACGCCCCCCCCACACATCAAAAAGACAGGCCGGCAATCGCCCGAAAAGCTTGATTTCTGGCCTCTGGGACTAATCCCTCCACTCTTCAATATGCCGGCATTAGGATATCGTACTTGGATCTGGCTACATGTGGCTATCATGACAGGGTACTGTGTAATCTCCATGGATATTCAGGATTCTACGTCAGCTCATGTATGAGGGGAATAAGATAAGAAAAGGTAAGTGGATTGATTGTTGGTAGGAAAGAGAAGGGAGAGTATAAGTATTGTGTTTCTCTCCAAAATGCCCTTTATCCTTCGCCCATACTCTTTCTCCCTTAACGTATCTATATTCTCTGATATCTGTAACCTGATCTACTATTCTTCTACAATGGCAACCATCTGTAAGCACACCTTCTCTAAATCTCTCGGCACACTACCATACTAATGTCATTTCGCAGATGATGAACCCACTGGCTGCAACTGCGATAATGAGTCAACCTATGATCAATCAGCCATAGACGCAGCTTGCAAACAAGCATTACTGCTCGCATCTGAAAAGAAAACAGTTGGAAAGGATAAATATCCTCATGCTTACAATGGTTGGCTCCGCTATTACCATCCCCCCACTTTCTCCACTAATCCCTTCCGCCCAGACTACGAAAAGTTCACGTTCATTCCCCGCCGCCAAAAGCCCTACCTCGAATTCCCGATTCTCTCCAACGGTGCAACATATACTGGTTCGGATCCCACTTCTCCAGGTACAGATCGCATCGTTATTGGAAGCATTGCTACCGATTATAAATCTGCCGTTTTCTGTGCTGTGATCACACATGATGGAAGTACTAAGAATGGGTTTACTGAGTGTACGAATACGGGAGATAGTGGTGAGGGAGCTTATCAAAGGAGAGACAGGAGAGAAGAGGGGAAAGAGGGAAGGGAATTATTGGAGAGAATTGATTTGTAGCTTCAAGGAGGATCTGGATGGGTGTGATATTGGAGGTCCGAATGATAATAGTTATACGGGTAGATCTATGAGGAGCTTTCGGTGATACGAGAATGAAAGCAATTGATGTAAACTTCATTTCATTGCTGCATACCTCCAAATTCGAACTCATCAAAATCTGCCGAGCGACGAATCCAAATATCAAAAAACTGCATTTATATCTCATCTATTCTAATCCCACGTATGGCCCGCACTGGAGGGTAAATCATAATCAGCAAATTCGCGACCTAAATCTCATTTCCATCTTCAAATCTTCTATGTCTGTTCTACCCGTCCTTTTTCATACCCAAATTTCCCATATAATACATCACGTCTCACAAGTAAGACCCAATTTTCGCTCCACGAACAAAATTTCACAAAAGCAAACTCAATCCTTCATAAACATACATTCATACAAAACAATCCCTCAAATCAAAGATTATTCCCGCCCCCATTAACTCTGACCGAATATCTCCAATCCGGGTTTCCTTCTCCCAACCCGCTTCCCAGATTCGGACCTGTCAATCCACTCCTCTCTCTATCTCGCATGCGATCTCGCTTACGTATCCAATCTATCGAGTCGCCGAAATCTACTATATCTTCATGAGGCCCTTCTTCGACTGTTTTTACATTTGAGGTTGGATGATCAGGGGTTTTTGGTAGTGGTGCGGGAGAAAATGGGAAGGAAAAGGAAGAGAGTTGGGGTTGATCGGTAAAGGGATTTTGTAGTGTGGATTGAGATGCTGTTGAAGATGTAGAGGGGGTTTGGGAAATGGAACTACTAGCGCGAGTTCGGGCACCAGTGAGACTGCGCATGGTATTCCATGTTAAGATTCTCTGTACTCCCGTACCCGCAGTAGTTTTGCCGTCGTAGGAAGGTGATTCGTTAACTTGTGACATGTTGCCTCCCACTCCACCACCGTTCCATTCAGCAACGCCAAATCCGCCAATGCTTTTTCGGTGCTGTTTATTCTTCTTCTTGCGCCGGAGGAAATACCATATTGTTGTTAGAATGAGAGCTAGGAGGGCTAGTGATCCGATGGTGATACCGGCGATGGAGCCTTTGCTCAGGCCGTGCTGAGTTAAGGTTGCGGAGGGAAGGACGGTGACGCCGACAGATTGGGTGCCGGCTCCAGTGTTGGAAAGGGGAGTCGCGGCAATCGTAGAAGAGGATGTGGTGGTGGAGGCGGATGAAGTTGAGGTTGTTGGTACAAGCGATGTTGAGGAGTTGGAGGTTGTAGTTGTAATTGTCGGTGTAGCTGCAGAAAAATATGATGAAGATGAGGATGAAGATGAAGTATTGACTGTACTAGTAGTGTTGGTATTTACAGATGTAGAGGATATATATGATGCTGGTGATGAAGACGAGGTAGTTGAGGCAGCTGCAGTACTGGTGGTAATAGTGTTCGTAGATATCGCAGAATAATAGCTGCTAGTTGTAGCTGGGGGTTCGGTGGTCGAGGGAGGGCTGTTTGAATTCTGAGGGCGGGGAGGTGGCCCATTGCCATTATTACCATTGTTGTTCACTCCCATATTATTCCCGTTGCCCATATCAGTACCTCCATTCATATTTCCTGGCCCTGGCCCTCCATCTCCGCCATCTAGCTGATTTCCCTCCCACCAATCTGCACCACCACCTGCTTGCACTTCTTCATCCCCGAAGCCAGGTGGATAATACTGGGACTCCATAAATTTTCAGGAAAGCTATAGTCAATTAAACAAAATGAATCTCGAAAAAGACCGTAAGTCCCAAAATTCCTGAGTAAATGAGTCTTTGTAACATTGCATTTCATATGTCGATCAGTCCATATTCGGTTCTAATTCCAGGCCAAAGGAAAATAAATGAGATTTGTCTTCTGTAGGTGGGTTCGGAAATTCAAAGTAAATGCATTTTAGATCAGCGAGAAAGAGAAAATATGAACACCAGCCCACAGTGTCAAATTTGGCCTCAAACCATCCCGCGACAATACACGACTGGCCACGCACAAAATGTGCCATCTCGACTTCTATCTTCATGCCAAGATACCTGAGCGCTCAAGTTCGGACGAAGTTCTTCTACTGATAAAAACATCCCTGGTTCGTTATATACGGCAATTCGGGACGGGCGAGTTGGGAGATGATATATTGCATTGCGAAGTTAAAGACATCATTTTTGCCTTTATTATATCCTAAGATATTGCCATCAAAGAAAGTAATTACAGCTCCTGATATCTAGTGCTTTGATCCCCTCGATGAGTTGGTGACATGAACGCTTTGAAGAAGTTGATCGTTACAGTGGGGTGTTGGCGTTTCATGTTTCGAACTTGACGTGAAGCCGGTCTGAGGAACCGTCTCTTTTCAATATATCATCTATCTTGCTAGAATAATTTTATGAACTTGTGGGGTCGGAAAAATGAAAAAGTAACTCCCGTCTTATTGGTATGTTTCCCCAGAATGATGCAATCAGTTCTCAACGATGCGAATTTATTACTGTGAGGAATCCTGCCTTTCTGACCAACTAGTTTCAAATGAGAAATTTCAATCAATTCCCAATACACATAGAGCATCCCCAATACCAGCATTCACAGCTAGATCCTCAATGGAATCATGTACTTGCGTTGCAACTTCTACCCATAGTTCTAGGAAAGGCGTGGTGTTTGTTCGAGCCATGATATTGAGAACGTAGAGCCCTTGCCGAGAACACCATCTGCGTCTGATCTCTCCAGGATGCATAGCTATCAGAACCATTCCTATTCCTTGAGCATATCCTTCCAGATCGAATTGAGATAGCAATACTCTCCCAAGTCGATGGCATTCATCATAGTCATGCTTCTGGTACGCGTTCATAGCTTGGGCCAATATTGTTTCTTGTGAAGCTGCCTGTAATATTTCATTCTGTGCATCACTTGATTGCAAACGTTCAAGTCCTTCATAGTCCATAGCATTTCCAACTCGATCAATTACCTCTTCATAGGTTTCGTTTTTATCTGGCTTCACTTGTTGGGCGAGAATGAAATTGATAGCTCGCAATATGTACAAGGTTTTGTCGAATTTCGCACGTATCTCATGAAAGTCCGTTCCAAGCGTAGCTACACCAACTCGATCACAGTCTGCACTTGCTTTTGTGACCATCTTTCTCGCCACCCGGTTTGTATTTAACAATCTCTGCCCAAAGTCAACATTGCTTGGGGTTTTCAAGTCGGCTTCTGCCATGAAGTCAATAGCGCATTGTGTCTCTTGGTCGGTCTCACGCTTTAGATTATCGGCAAAGCAACGAAGCAATCGAAGTATCTCAGAATCTGAAAGTTCTCCGGGGCTTTGTGTAAAGTAACGCTCAAGCGCATTGTTACACTCATTAACGCTTCTTTCTGTGTTATCCCGCTGATGAAGGTATTGCACTCTTCTTAACTTATTCCCCTCATTGTCTCTCTGTACTAACGCGACGTCATAAGCCTTTCTCTGCTCCGGATTTAATGATGAAAGTAGTTGAGCATTCGATTTTACAGCTTGCACTTCATACATCCACTTTCTTTCGGAATTGTTGAAGACATAACTTGACAACTCCGGACGTGAGGGGTCTGGTTCGATAACGTCAATTGGAGCTGGTGTAGGTGCTATTATAGACACGCCAAAGTTTGTAGCCATTCTATCCCAAAAGTCGTCACTATGTATGAACTCGTAATATTTTGATACGATAGGCACAAGCTTATTCGTCTCTTCATACTGTGCAAAATGCTCACCAGCTTCGTGCAAGAAAATTCCCTTATCGTACTTGCGTGCGGGAATCTCTTTACTGAGCAATAAAGTTACTGCTGGAGCACCAACAATATGTCCAGGTTTAAGAATCTTTGGCATTGCACCGAGAAGCTATACGAGTGGTCAGTTATCACGCTTTGGTGATTTTTAGAAACTAAAGTCTTAACTAACCCCCTTGACAAATGAATAGCCTAACCTACAAGACCAGAAAGTCAGTATTGCATACCAAAGAACAGTTCCTTGAGGGGAAAGGTAAGGTCACAAAGGACTAGAGAGCTAGAGCATTGGGGTGGGAGTAAGATTGTTGTAAATCGGATGCCCCACTTTCTGGCCACCCCCCTTTTGGGCCACTTTTTATACTCAAAATATATCAAAAATGGAATTTATAACTTTCTTATTTATAAATAGAATTCAATGAAAATTTGTATATATATAATTTAGATCGATTTAAGCTTATTCTGAAATTTTTAGATTTTTAGGATTTTTCTATATTGAAACTAAAACTTCAAAATATCGATTTCTAAATTTATATAGGAATCATATACAAATTTAAATTTTTATAAAATTTTTAATAACTTTTTAATAAAAATTACTAAAAATAAATTATAAAATTTTAATATAAATTTATAGTATGTTTAATATAAGAGATTCAGAAAAAATAGAAAATTTCTTATAAATAAATATTTATAAGGGTACCCTCAAAATGATAGGGATTATTTATATTACTCTAAACTCATTGTATATTATATCTTTATATCTGTTAATTTTTCTTAATTTTTTTTGAATTTCTATATAGATTTAAATTTAAATCTTTCAAAAAGATATACAGTTTTCTTTTAATAATTATTATTAAAAAGTTATTAAAGGTTTATAAAAATTCTAAATTTATATATGATTCTTATATAAATTTGAAAATCGATATTTTGAATCTTTAACTCTCAATCTAGAATAGTTCTAAATATCTAAAAAGTTTAGAATAAGCTTAAAACAATCTAAATTATCTATATATAAATTTTTATTAAATTATATTATATATTGATAGAGATATTAATAGGCTTAAAAAGTGATTTTTGGTGTGAAAGGGTGGCCCAAAACAGGGATAGCCCGAAAGTAGGGTGCCCGACTTACATGATAAAGCATAAAAGTGGAATTCGAGATCGAGGAACAGAACTAAGTAGCAGAAGCGAAGGATGTAATAAACCGATCAAGCTTACTCGCAAAATACTTCAGCGCCATTACAATTCACATCGCCACCGTATGCCGGCTCATTTCGTACAATCGTTCGCCCCATTGGAGGATCTTGAAGTTGGTTCAATGCATGCTAGAATAGTGTTAGCGCTTGCCCGACCAATTAGGATAATGAGGTTTACTGCAAACTCATGCATAAGAGTCGAGGCAATATAGAATTGGCAGGATAATCTCTCTATTGGTGACAGATCATTCCTGAACAAAGGTAAAAGCAATTCGAGAGCTATCTCAATCCAAGCTTTGTTTTCCGTGTAAAACTCAAAATCTTTGTTCTGCCGCTCGGTGGACACAATTGTGAAGCCTTCCCAGCCTAAACCAGACCCATTTGGCGTTCTCCTATCCCAGGGTGTGAGAAAGGAGGAACCAATGCCAAATTGAACTCTCTTCCGCATTATATCCTTCAGCCATTCCGTTTTTTCCGCTGTTTGAGCATTACTTCGAAGCTGAGGATCCCGTTTGTGGAAGAACTTCAAAGGTCCCTGTTCTAGTTTCTGCCAAGCAGGACGACGATCAAGACGTTCAGGAACATCCGTACGATCTCCAAAATAAAATCCATCAAGCTATGGAGTCAACCATAAGTACTCATACGAAAGCAGATGATTGTGAAAAATAATAATACATACCCAGCATGTGGCTGCAGAATGATGCAAGAACCTAGTACACAATCTCAATATCGGGTCTAAACGTCGCCAGACCGCAGGATTATCTGCCGTCCATACCCCAGTATTGTCTGGCTCTACAGGGGAGAATGGTTTGTGCGGTGGAAACTCCATCTGAATCACTGGCCATGTCTCTAGCGTGTGACGAGACTGCCATTGATTTATCTCAAAAAGTGGACTAGAGAATGATTAGACATGTTCTACCCGGTATTTATAGCTCCTAGAGAAAATGATGCACTATGAGCAACGTGTCTCGAGGATAACAGCAGAATAAGTTATAGATAAATCAGAATAAGAAAGACCAATTACTCAATAGGGTTGGTAAGAGTTGGTAAATAGTTTAAAGGATAAGGATATGCTCCGATTTCTTCCAAGAGTTCGGGCCAATATCCAGACAAAATCCACTTCTGATGATTCTTCCTTTCAGCCTTCAATTGCTGGTTATCAAGTGCGTTTGGTGTCAAAGCTAAGACTGATTAATTATGCCATATTGAGCAAGAGGTGACTTACATACCCGACTTCTTATAAGGAAAAAGAGTTGTGTCGGGTCCATAATCTCTGGTAGAACTCCATATTTACTGGCCCATTCCGTACCAGCCTGGGTAGACCAAATGCTGTGAAATCTACCAAACTTGGGATCCCAGTTTGTGAGGGGATTCTTGGCAACCATACTTATCCCTACTTCTGGACACTCTGTTTTGTAGCTTAATTTGACAATGTTCAGTAGATGAGCACTGTCAACGACATGTACCCCCCTGATATATGACGGCGAGAAAAATTGCGAAATCGTAAAATAAGAGCCTAGTATGAAGTCGAAATTCCCATTTGTGACAAATGAAGAAATAATCTAGCTTATGACTGAAACAATAAAATCATATGCCGTACAGTTTGTTGATTCTTTGAGAGAAAAATAAATCCTTTGTTTTCACCTGAGCAGGACACACCATACTTTAGGAAGAACCCATGAAACAGCTTTCTTTTGCAGCTTCCGCAAGAACAAAGATTCAAGACAACCGGATGATTCTTAAACCCATGTATCTTTCTTTTCTTAAGAGAAAAAAATCAATAAAGAGAGTCTTCAAAGAGGAATTTAAATTTTGCTTGGGGGGGAAACGGAGGGAAGTGAACCACTTGCTCGAGCACTTGCTAGCGAATGTGGCTTCAGAATAATTAGATAGTTATAAAGCATATTCAAACGTATCTTTCCATCTACCTACTCTATCAATGGTTAAGTTCATGAGCCAAAGTTTGATATTGATGAAAATAATCGAGAGGATACACATGCGGTACATAAATGGTGTATTGTTGTGAACGGATGATCTAGAGAACCTGGAAGCCGTTGAATATATTCTGTGGCTTGTCAAATGTGGCTTGTAACAGACCTCATGTACACGTGGCTGACCATTTCATAGATCATTTTGGCGGCAACTTGGGTTTTTATATACCGATTCCCATTATTTTCCATACATGCTTTGCCTTCTGTAAGATCATATCAGAAACTGTCTGAAGATATAAAGAATTCAAGTAGAAAAGAGCTATCTATACCTAGGTAGGTGTCACACATCATTAATCGATCAGCAAAAATACATTCGTTCTTTCCTCTCACCCACGGACAAGACGAACAAATTAAGTCAAACGCAGTCCGAGATTCTGAACGTCGAGCCAGAAGTCGAATAACATTCTTCAGTGCCTGATTTATCTTCGACAATAGGATTGAAATCACTACCCTTCGGCCTCACTTGAGAAATAAAATTTTAGAACAAAAGGGTCACCACAAAATCACGGAATGCAAGAAAAGATTTGAAAAGGATCGAAGATCAAATTCATCGAACATCACTCTATTATACAGAGCCATCCAAGATATACATAAAAATGCTCCCAGAACCAATAGCACGAAAAGAAAGAACACAGTGGGTGTGCTGTCTCGGGTCCCACCAATACCCCTAATACCAATAACATATACAAATCTTTTGAACATCGCCAAAAACTAACAATCATATAAAAACAGTAAGTCATGCATAAACCATGCAATCATCGAACCACTTAGGACGTAGGTTCAGGAGCGGCAGCAGAGCCGGATGGGAAGCCAGATGGGACAGCACCTTCGAATCCTGATGGAGCAGCTCCAGATGGGAAGCCAGATGGGAAGCCAGATGGGACAGCACCTTCGAATCCTGATGGAGCAGCTCCAGATGGGAAGCCAGATGGGACAGCACCTCCAAATCCTGATGGGACAGCTCCAGATGGGAAGCCAGATGGGACAGCACCTCCAAATCCTGATGGGACAGCTCCAGATGGGAAGCCAGATGGGACAGCACCTCCGAATCCTGATGGAGCAGCACCGGATGGACAAGCTCCAGTTGGCTTGGAGCTACCGGCGGAACCAGTTGGCTGTTGCATCTCTCCACCTGGTTGCAAGGCAGCACTGCTTTGTTGACGTCTTTGATGACCGGAAGCCTTGGCACCTCCAGTGGCCTTAGCTCCAGAGGAACCGGTCTTTGATGCACAACCGAAGCCACTTCCAGAAGCACCTCCCTTTCCACCCTTTCCCCCTTTGTGGCCACCCTTGCCGGAAGCTTGAGCAACACCGGACTGTTGCGCCTTGCCGTTTCCGAAGTTCGATGAACCGGTTGGTTGAGCACCACCACTGTGGTGGTGTCCTCCACGTCCTCCAGCTCCACCGGAAGCCATGGCGAAACCGCCAGATGGAGAAGCACCGCCGAACCCACCAGCGCAACCAGATGGTTGAGCACCACCGGTAGGGCGGGATCCAATCTCACCAGTACCAGTTGGGGCAGCTCCACCGAAAGCGGAAGTTTGGCCAGCTACAAGAGGAGCGGCGAGGAAAGCAGCAGCGATAATCTTTGAGAAATGCATCTTGATGATTTGTTAAATTTTGAAAATTTCGAAACGTGGTTGGTAAGAGGAAGTTGGTTGAGAAAAAAGTTGAAGAAGTTTTTTTTGAGAGAGTGATATGAAGAGTTGTTTGAAAAGGCTCAGACCTGGAGCTGAAGATGTGAAAGAGAAGAATGAAGCTTGAAAAGACTGGATGCTCTAAGACTGGATTTTAAAAGTAATGTGGGATTTACACATCCTTTATATCTATCTTGCCGTCACCTACTTGGTGGCAATCATCACCCAATTCAAGTATAGGGTTCAATGATACTGGCAGAAAATTGTTTCAGAGAACACTGCCAAACCCCTGCCAATGGGTCTGCATTCTCCACGGTATAGGTAATGGAAGTAGGAAGTAAGTGATGAACCGGCAATTACAAAGTCACCGATGTCTCTTACCCCCCACAAGGTGACCAATTTGCGCGCTAATGAGTTATTGAATATACATGAGGGTCCGGTATGTGTCCCAAAAGTAAGAGGGTAACGTCAATCTACTCAATCTGGGGTGTGCTATAAGATGTTAGCGCTAGCGTATCCATAACAAAAAGCTTTCCAATTGCAAAAGTCAGGGATAAGCTTGTCGTTTGAGCCTTGCGCCTGTAGCTCGACAGATAAATTAATGTCCAGATGAACCTTGTTTCATTAGCTCACAACTTAATTTCTACGGAACATTCTTGCAAAACACTTGGAGCAAATATATGTAGAACCGTGAAGATAGATTAGCTATGAGACCAAACAGCTTCATCCTTATGTGTAAACTGTCAGACAATCTGGCATGTCATTTCGAAAATAACGATAGTCTAGGTGGTGATGTTACCATCGAACCCGCTCATGATGTAAACAAAGCATGGCGTCTAGAATCATCCTCTAAACCAGTATCTAAGTTTTAGCTTATGCCCTACATTGTAATGATCGCTCCTACCTGCATGCAAACAAAATGATCAGGGGAAATATCACCAGTGGATCGCCAAGGCTTCACGCGTGTATACTTCGATTCAAAAGGGACGTTTCAACTTCGCGCCGTTGAAGCCTGTAATCATCTGTCTCTCGTCGTAACTTTTAAGAGAGTTCTAGACTCCATGAGGCCCAGTCGAAAGTCGTGCAAGGTGATTTTCAGGAAAATTCACTTCAAGGACCACAATTCGCGGGGATCAATCTACTAATTCTCCTAGACTCTCACAATTAATATGTTTATGTGGGACGATTGTACTAATTCGTATGGTAACGGAGATCCGGGGACGGTAGGTTAAGATGAATCGACTTTAGAAGTTGGTGATGACAACAGAAGGATAACCGTTCTATGGCTTGTTCGTTGGAATGTCCGCGTAAGCTTTTCAATATCTGAGACGAAGTGAACCCCTGATTTCCCCACATATACAACCTCCTTTCATTTAGAAGTTTATGTTGCTTTTGCTAGAGCGAGTTGAACTTAGCTGTCGAGTTGGGATGGTGACATTTATGAGAAGGGAGGGGAAATAAGTGACGTGGATTGTAGAAAATTAGGTTCAACAGAGAGCAAGAATGAGATGGCATGGTGGTAAAGTTTACTTCGTAGACTAATAAACTCGCCATGGTTTGACAGTCGAAGGCATACTTATCAGGCAATTAGTCGAGAGTTGGGCATGTATCTTACGATTCTGCCACCGACTCCATCTCGCCTTCGCCTCCTTCAGCCTTCAAAACGGAACGATGCCAAGTTATCTGACAACTTCAACTGTAGAGTTTTTCCTGGTCAGATTCACATGCCAGATACTGGATATTATCTTCCCTAGCTGGAGGGGTACCTACTGTAATTTATCCGTCAGCCACATAGCCACAAGCAAGTGGGTGTTTCTTTACACACGGACGCTTTACCCACGGAAGCTCTTGAAGTTAAAAATCCTGTCTAGTATCTTTCAGAATCTTTATTCAAGACTTTAGATCATAGAACGCATTCGCCAAGTCATGAAACAGCTAAGGAATCTATCTTAAGGTTCAGATTCGTATGCCTTTACTTTATTCAGAGCATGACATTGCTGATATGTCTTGGCAAGAGACAGGTACCGTTGAATACCGGTATTGATAAATTTCTATCTTTATCTCAAAGTTTACTCAACTACACAACATGCCAAGTTAGTGGCGCGTCAATAGTTCTCAGGGATCGACTTGTTTGTATAACCGATATCCCTACATCTTGCACAACCCCTGTATCTTGCACACTTTTTATTTATTAAAACAAAAATAGATTATAAATCGAAATATTATTGTAATTATTTCAAATTATTTAATAAGAACTTTAATATTATTGTGATATAATAATAAAGTTTTGAAAGATTTAAAATATTAGATTAAATATTGATTGATTTAAAATAACATCAATTTAAAATATTAATAATTCAAGAAAAGTTTATATTAGAATTTGTTTATAAAATTTTAAAATAATCTATTAAATTATTTCATATTATCACGGGGCAGGCGGGCTGGATAGGGTTCTAATAACTTTGCCCTAATCTGATAAGGCTATACTGATTTGGGTAATAGGTTTAGATTGAGAATTAAGATATAGCTTAAAGAGCTACAATATAGGATCTTCTGAGTTGAAGATATACAGAATTCTTATAGTGAGCTAGCCCGATTGGGCCCTAGCTCGCTTGCGTTCCGATACGAACACTCCTTTCAATCCTCTCCAATAGAATCAGTATATCATGTAAGCTCACATTATAACATTACCCCCCTTCTAAGAGTCGAGCTCCGTCGAGGCAACATGTTACGGTTTACAATCTATAAATAGGTAGAGCTTGGTTAAGTGGGATTGGGTTTGTTAGGGTATTTATAGTAAAAGTTATAGATTAGTTTTTGTATGTCTTCCAGATAGCTTGTAGATTTTTCAATTGGTATATTATAGCCGATCTAATAGACAGTGTATTTCAGGCGAGGTTCTCTACAACTTCTTCTTTCCTAACAGAAGTTCAGAATTTCGGTAACCTCAAAACACTCGAGGCCGTTTATTTCTATAAGGGGTGGTGGCGGATTACACTATCCAGAAATAGGATTATTGTATACAGAATATAGCAGATTGATATAGAAAACAGAATGAATCTTTATCAAGGCTAGGAGCTTCAGTTTATAAGCATAAGGGCTTATCAAATTCAGGATTTTGAAGAGCCCAAGATTCTTTTAATCAAGCTTTTTCTATAAACACAGGGTTTTGATATTTCTAGTATTCAATCAGATTAGATTACTGGGCAGATATCTATAAATAGGAGAATAATGGATATCAATATTCTTCGAATATTGGGTTTAACTAATAATTAATTTGGTTTGTAAATATAAAGAGATGGCTTTTATTTTAATAATAAATTCTTTAGTATTTTGTATAGCAAAAATGATTACTCTAGAATAGTATAGACTCGAAGTCTAAGTGAAGATGAAACCTGTAGTTTGAGAAGAATAGGATTATTTGGGTATTTTCGGATCAGGTATTGTTAATAGAGAATTCGGTAAATGGGAGCTACTCTACCCAATTGTTTTGTAGATAAGCTATATACAACCGAAGATATTGTTCTAGTATTGTATTAGCTCTCTTAGTTTATCCGTTAGTTTCAGGATAATAAGTAATTGAAAGCTTGATGACTATACCTAAGTGCTTATAGATATATTTCCAGAATTTAAAGACGAATTGAGCTTTACAATCAGATATAATGATTAGGGGTAAGCCGTGGAGCTTTTAGATATTCTTTCGGAATAAACAGATAACCTTTTTGGAGTTGTAGGTACTATAATAAAGTAAGAAATGTTTCATTTTCGTCAATTGATCGACTATTATTATAATAGTATTGAAACCAGTATTTTCAGACAGATATATAATGAAATCTATTGAAATATCTTGCTAAGCTCTTTGTAGAATCGGGAGTAAACGGAGAATTCCCTTCTAGCCTCTGCAATTCGGGGTAGTGTGGTAGCAATTATGATAGTTACGGATCTATTGTATAATATAATCATAATATCCAGGCTAGTAGTAATTTCGGGACAATAATTCAAAGGTTCGGGTATAGTACAGGTGACTAGCGGCGGGCGATTTGTGGTATAAATAAAGCAGATAGGTTTTTAGGGGGTTGTAATTGGGAATATATAGTTTTTCTTAATAATATAGTAAGTTGTTGTTTTTGGTATACTTAGTAAAAATGATTTTCGAATATTTCGAGAATTTCTTTTATAGGGATTTCAGGATAGATTTGGGTATAGGATTGGTTTAATAGCCTTTGTGAAACAGAGTAAGCAGATTAGCAGAAAGGTTTAAAGGGTTTTCTAGATTCTCTAGTTATATTACAGGGTTAGGTATAGATATAGCATATAGGATTACAGGCTTTATAATTTTACTATTTTCTAATAAAGTTATAATATTATCAGAATCCAAATAATCAATAATGTTAGTAAAATCGGGGTTTCTTTAGCTATAAGTAATTACAGCGAAGTGTATTCTTTTAGCAATCTTAAATTCAATTAGAATAATAATAATAGAAAACAGATCAGAATCCAGGTTCTCTTATTTCAGAATAATATGGCTTTAGTACAGAAGACGTTTATCCCTTTTCTTAAGAAGATCTTCTAACCTTTTGATTAGTGTATTAGATTTGGCATCTAGCTTTCCGGAATGATAGGTAATTCAGAAATTAAATCGAAATAGAAATTCGAATTAGCAGGCTTGATAATGATTTAATAGTTTTATTGTAATAAAGTATTCCAGATTTCTATAATCAATAATCACTTGAATTAGTAATACAGCATCTTTTAACTCAGAATGCCATTCTTTAAAGCAACGGATAATAGCTAACAGTTCTTTATTATAAATCTCATAATTATATTTAGTTATTGAGTGTTTTTTAGAAAAGAATATAATAGATCTAAGTATTCCATTATTGTTATATTAAAAGAGTACTTTAATAAATATATAATCAAAGGTATCGATTTCTATAATCACTTCCTTTTCCTAATCAAAGAAA